TTGCAGATGTCACACAAGGCACGGCGTCCCCAACACCCATCCCCACGCCCCCAGCTGGTTTGGGTCCACGTCAGTCTGCCGTGGGCAAAGGCTGCCTGGACATGTTCGTGGGTGAGCCGCTCCCAGAGACCCCTCCATGTGCCCCCATCCTGGGCAACGGGACTGCTGTCCCCGACACCTCACCCCCACCGCCACCCCCACAACATTTTGGGGAAGAGCAGCTACTCACCACTGCTGGACTTCCTTCTCGGTGACTGCAAGAGAAAACAGAGAAGGAGCCGTTTAGTTCAGGGAGGTGTCCCAGGGGATGGGCAGGCGCTGGGAGCCCCCTTCCTGCCCTCACACCCCGCCCCGGCCCTCCCCGGCCCGCAGTCTGTCTGCCCGTGTCGGGGCACCACTAGCTCTGACCCAGTCAGGAGCTCTGGGTCTGACCGCACAGCAGGGGACAGCACTGGCCCGGTCCCCCTGGGCTGCTGGCAGGACAGCCAAGAACAGCCTCTTAGACCAGGGGTGGCTTCTCCCTGCCCTCCTGGGGGTGCCGTGACCCCGGTGAACACGTAACACACATTCTTCCCACCGGGTGAACATGTAACTCCCCACACCCAAGTCTCCATCCATGTAATACACATTCTTCCCATCTCTCAATCCCGGGGACAGCACAGTCAGAGAAGGTGCTGGCTTCCCCAGGCACTTGGCTGCCCTGCTTGCATCGGGGGCGGGGGGTGGGGGCAACAGAGAGGCGGAGCCCCCCCTCAGCCCAGCACCTGCCCCCGCGGCCCATCCCTGCCGCCCCTCACAGTGGTCAGCCCCGAGTCCTCCCACAAGCGAGATGGGAACGGCGCCGTGAACCAAAAGCTGCAACGAGCCAAATCCAGTGGCTGAACCTCCCGCCAGGCCCAAATAGTCATTCTTTACTGAACCATGAAACAAACAAAAGAAATGTTTTTTCTGGAAAGTACTGAATCGGTTCAAGTTGGAACCAAACCAAGGTTCTCTGTAAAATCACTGAATGAGAAGATCTAACCACTTCCCGCGAGGCTGACCTCGGGAGAGCAGCACCGGCTCCCGGGCCTCGGTTTCCTCGTCTGCAAAGTGGGAAGAACAGGGACACGTCCCACAGTGACTGCCACAGGCGCTGTCCTGAGACGTCAATCAAAACAGGTGTGAAAGCTCCTGAATCCCGGCAGAGGGCCTGGGAACGTGCCCCATACAGGCTGTGGAATGAATGTGTGAGTGAATGAATGAATGAATGAATGTGTGAATGAATGAATGGATGGATGAATTGTGAATGAACAAATGAATGAATGTTTGCGTGAACAAGTGAACACATGAGTGAATGAATGAATGAATAAATGAGCGAATGAATGCATGAACTAATGACTGACGGCGTGGACAAACAAATAGACAGGAAGGCAGGTGTTAGGTGGAGGTCGGGTGAGTAAAGAAACGAATCCTTCCCAGGGAAGGGGAAGAGGAGGCCCCGGGGGTGTCCCCGATCAGACTGGAGGCCACCTTTCACAAACGGCTGAACGCACGCTTTCAACAAGTGCCCACTGCAAGCCAGGTCCGTGCAGGGTGCCCAGGGCCTTGGTGCTTTGGCTCAGCAGCCCTGATGACAGAAGCGGGAATGAGGGAGGAGAGCATTACTCTGGCCTGGCTCCAAACAGGGAAACTGAGGCACAAAGGGGCCAGCACGTGACGTGGAAAGGAGACTCAGCCGCCTGACCCACAGCCTGGAAGCTTCCACTAGGCCCCGCCTCATCAGCACTCTCCTCCCACAAGCACAGTCAGAGACGAGGCCTGGCCACCAGCAGGCCTCTGATACAGGGAGAGTCAGGCACTGACGGGAGATGCTGGTGGCCTGGAATGGCAGACCTGGTTAAAAAAAAACAAAAACCGCAATTTTCCAAGGAAGTTTGGTAGAGGATAGGGCTGGGAAGGGGGTCAGGCATGGGGGCAGAGAGGGAAGGCGCCCCTGTTCTAACAGGGCGGGACTGCCCTGGACCTGCCGCCCACACCGCAGTGAAGGGCAGCAGGGGCTGAGGGACTAAGGCTCAAAGAGACAGAAGAGACTCATCCCAGCACAGCCAGGAGTGTAGGGGCCTGGACTCTGGAGTCAGACTAGACCACCTGGGCTCAAATCCAGCTCCACAGCTTATGAGCTGTGTGTCCTTGGACAAAGCACTTCCCCTCTCGGAGCCTCAGTTTCTCGTCTGTAGAATGGGCTTATTGTACAGAGTAAGCTGCTTGGTGCTCTTCACCTGCACAAAAGGTATGACCCCATTTTCCTGATAAGGAGACCGAGGTTCAGATGGTCAGCTAACTTGCCTGAAGTCACCCCAGGTCACCCGGGCTCCAGAGCGCAGCATGGATGCCCAATTAAGTGCCCCCCTCCAACTTGAGTCAGCCAGTGATCCGTGTGTGACCTTGTGTGACCTTGGCATCATGTGGCATAAACAGCAGGAGCTGGGTGACAAGGGCTTGGGTAGTGCGGCCTCCCAGGGGCAGAAAAGGCTTCCCAGGAATTGCCCAGCTCAGAAGTCCTCCCTGTCCCCTGACCCCACACCGTCACCCAGCAGCCTTCCCTCCTCCCCCAGGGGACATGGTTGGCCTGGGGGCAGAGCGGGAAGGTGCCCCTGGCCTAAAGGTGGGGACCTCCGTAGTTGAGGGATGCACAGCCGCTCACTGCACTGTTATTTCAATGTTTCTCTTGATTTTTCCAAATCAAAAGTGGGGAAGAGATGTTTGTTCTCATCAGCACACAACCCGTGTGCCCCCATCCCCAGCGCCAGAAGGGCCGGGGTCCTGTCCAGGGTGCTGACCCTGAGCAGCGCCGACCACCACAGGCACTGGGAAGGAAGCGGGGTCCAGGGACAATGATGGGGTCCCTCTGCCTCCACCCTCCATCCAGACTCCCAGGCTCAGGCTCCCCAGCGAAACCTCACTGCCCCCCCTCCCCACACCCAAGTCTCCATCCATGTGTGAAATTAACAGGCAGCATTTGCCCTGGGCGGGTCCATGCTCCGGGCTCAGGGTTCAGGGCACAGGGCCGGGCGGAAAGGCAGACCATCCCCAGGGCAGCCCGCGCCCACCATGTCCCCTGACCACCCCCAACCCTGCAACCCCTCAAGCTCCACTCACGATCCCACCTCCAGGCCTTGGTACCTGCTGTTCCCTCTGCACCTCCGCGGCACCCAGTCCCCGCTCGGCGTCCCTTTCCCAGGAAGCCCTCCTGACCCTGTGGCCCCTCTGAAGCCCCTCACGCTTGGGAATCACTGCTTTACATACAGTCTGTCTTCCCATAGGCCCACCGCGGGGGTCAGACCGGGCACTGCCTGGGGGTTGGGTGGGTGAGGCGGGGAGGGGACGGGGGTAAGCAGAGCGGTCTGCAGGGCTGGCTGCGGCCTTGGGTCCCGACCCACGGGGCTGAGCCTCGGTTTGTTCACCTGCGAACAGACAAACGGCCTCTGCATCACAGGGGGTGCACGGAAGTGCGTGCACGGCGTCTGGCACCGAGTAGGTCCTCATTAGAAGCACTTGTTGCCCTCCTCGTCCCAGCTGGACGCTAAGCCCCAGAGGCCGAGCCACTCCCGGCAGGTCCCAGCGTCGCCCTCGGAGCCGGGCCAGCGTCCTGCCGCGGGAGGCAGAGAGCAAAGCCTTGTTGACCCCCAGCCCGTCACCAAGCCACCAGCCGGGCTGGGCCACATCCTAACACCCGCGTCTCGCAACACGATCACCCTCAGTTACGACGGGCTCTGGCCAATTTCAAACCCAAGCTGCTTTTCTCTGCACCCTCCGGCCTCCGGCCAGGCCCCGAGCTCGTCAGGAAGCCGGGATTTAAGCCGGATATGGGCCAGCCTCTAGTGGACGGCCCCGCTCCTCGCGGCAGCACCGTGGGGGGCCGGGGCGGGTATCCTGTCTTGGCTATTTGTAGGCTGGGTGACTCTGAACAAGGTGCTTAACCTCTCTGAGCCTCAGGGTCCTCATCTGAAGGATGGGTGTGAACTCCTTCCAGGCAGGGCCATGGGAGGGGCTCTGGAGAGGGGGAGAGACCATTCCCAGCTGGGAGCGGGCACAGAGCCCGGAGGAGCGAGGGCTGGGCATCCATCCACCCCCTCCCACTGACTTCCAGAGAACCAGGGCCTGCTGCCCGGCCCGCGCCCCCAGTGCCCACCCCGGAGCCCCGGAGGCCCATGCCCGCCCCTCCTCCTCCCCCGCAGCCCGTCTGCCAGGAAGGAGCACGGAGCCGTCCCCGGAGCTCAGGATAAGCATGAAGTCTGGTTTTGATTTCCCCAGAGCAAAGCAGCTCTCTCCTGAGTGACGCTCAGCTCAAACTCGGGGAACAGACAGCAGGGCTGGCGCCCCCACAGAGGGGTTGGCTGCTGGGGACCCAGGGCAGACTTCGAGCACTTTCCGCCACTTCCGCCACTCTCCTGTGGCCAAGTCAGACCCTGTTCCCATCTCTAGGGACAAAGACTACATCCAGGGTCAAGTGTCATCATGTGCCCCCCAACCCCCATCCCAGCTCCCGGTCAGCAAGGGGGCTCGGGTCCGATTAACACAGAGAGAGAGGGGTGGCCACTTGGGCCCGGCCACCAGCAACCCAGTCACTAACCCCCTCAGTCTGAACACCTCTGACCACGGACTGTCCCCCTTCCACAAGGGCAGGGCCCCTCGGACACTGCTCCCCAGGCCCCAGGCCTCTTTGCTCAAATTCCCAATACTGGGGTCCTTGAGTCTCCGCACGTGCACCCTGCACCCCTCACCCCAGGCTCCTCTCAGATGGCCCAGGGTTCCCCGCACTCCACATGCCCAAAGGGACGCCCTCCTCAGACCAGCCCTCCTCCTCCTGGGACCCCCTCCTGTGAACACCCCTCTCCCTGCCCCACCCAACAATCCCACCAACCTGGCTGCCTGGAAAACACGCCCCTGTCCAGAGTGCTGCCAGTCCCACCCTGACCACACCCCAGCCTCCCACCTGCATCTCCCCCTCCCAGCAGCTGCCAGCACCCCTAGTTTAGTCATGTCCCTGCCCTTGTACAAGCTGCTTCAGAGGGAGGGGCCCTGCGGTGGACCCCGAGGCACCCTCCACCCCAAGCTGCCTGCCCCTCCTTCCATCCCAGGCACACTTGCCCCCTCCCCTGCCAGGGGCAGTTTCCTGTAGAGAAGGCGGCATAGTATGAGGGTCTCACAGGACCGGGGTTCCAGGGTCTGCCATTCCCTGGCTGCATGACCGGTCACGTCCCTGCCTCAGTTTCCCTGTCTGTGAAAGGGGAAATGGCTTGTCCCACTCACAGGGGACATTGCCTGGCTGTGCTCACTGGGAAGTGCCGCACGCAGCGGGTGGGGGAAGGACAAGAATGAGAGTCACATGCCTGCGGTCCAGGTGCCCCAAGCTCCCCCACCCCACATCACTCCCCACCCCCAGAGGTGACAGACCTTCACATCACAGCCCCAGAGGCGGGTCCCAGCAGGCCCCGCAGAAACCCACTGGTGTTCTGGGAGGGGCAGGGGACTCCAGGCTTCCCACCTCGGCCAAGCCCTTCCCCTCAGGATTGTAAACTCCTGCAATCTCCAGGCACCCATTGGGGGCCGTAAGACTTGGGGTGCACAGCCCAGCTCCTACAACCCACATACTGACCTGCAAGTCAAGGACCAGGAACCCCACCTGCCTGTGCACCCTCCCGAGGGACGCTGTGGGAGGAGAGGGTGGGCCACACCCTGGGGCAGGCAAGCTGGGCAGCCCCAGATGCATGAGTGTTGGGTGACCTTGGATGGGTGACCTTGGACGGTGGTGGCAGGCTCACTGGCAACATGGAGTCCCCCAGCAGAGCTGCCACGATCAGATACAACACAGACCCTGCACAGGGGCCTTGAGAGCACGGTCACTGTGGCTGTGGGGTTTGAAAAATACATTTTTTATTGATTTCAAAGAGGAAGGGAGAGGGAGAGAGAAACATTAATGATGAGAGAGAATCATGGATCGGCTGCCTCCTGCACGCCCCACACTGGGGATGGGGCCCACTTCGGGGCATCTGCCCTGACCGGAATCGAACCGTGA